ACAGCCTCCTCCTGCATCGGCACCACCCTGGGACACACAGCCTCCTCCTGTGTCAGCCACCCTGGGGCACACAGCCTCCTCCTGTGTCAGCCACCCTGGGACACACAGCCTCCTCCTGTGTCAGCACCACCCTGGGGCACACAGCCTCCTCCTGTGTCCGCACCACCCTGGGGCACACAGCCTCCTCCTGTGTCAGCCACCCTGGGACACACAGCCTCCTCCTGTGTCAGCCACCCTGGGACACACAGCCTCCTCCTGTGTCAGCCACCCTGGGACACACAGCCTCCTCCTGTGTCGGCACCACCCTGGGACACACAGCCTCCTCCTGCATCGGCACCACCCTGGGACACACAGCCTCCTCCTGCGTCAGCACCACCCTGGGACACACAGCCTCCTCCTGTGTCAGCACCACCTTGGGACACACAGCCTCCTCCTGCATCGGGACCACCTTGGGACACACAGCCTCCTCCTGTGTCAGCACCACCCTGGGAGGAGAGACGGCTGCACCGTCAGTGGCTGGAGCCCACGGGAACGGTACCTACAGCTAGCAGGTTAAGATGTTCCCAGCCACCAGCAGGGACAAGGTTCCACAGCAAGATGGGAGCAGTTATAGAAAGGGAAGCCCTAGCCGGTTTGGCTCAATGGATGGAGCATCAGCTGCGGACTGAAGGGTACTGAGTTCGATTCCGGTCAAGGGCATACCTTGGTTGCAGGCTCCTCCCCATCCCAGGCCCTGGTCAGGGCACGTGCAGGAGACAACCTATGGATGTGTTTCTCTCATATCAATGTTTCTCTCTGTCTTTCCCTCTCCCACTCTCTCTAAAAAAAAAAAAAAAAAAATCAATGGAAAAATATCCTCGGGTGAGGATTTAAAAAAAAAAAAGAGGTTGATTTCCACACCTAAGTTGATTAAGAATGAAGAGACGAGAGTAGTGAGATGAAGGGTTTAGGGAAAGCTAACACACAAAGCCAACAATGTCCATTAAAAAAAATAAAATAAGAGAAGTTCCCTTTTTTGGCTACTTCTAATTTGGGACCAATTTGGATCTATTAAATGTATATAAAAAAACAATAAAAAATCAGGATTTTTGCTTACCTGACTGCTGTTATGTGGCAACATGTTAGTGTTTTGAAAATCCCAGAGTCCTTAAGAATGAGAAATAAGTACAGACAGGGAAGTACAAGAATTGCGAGGCCACCTTGCTCAACTCCATGAAAAACTTTTTAAAATTAAAATGAAACGGATTATGTTCCAGGAAAACAGAACTGGAAAACAGAACTTGCCAAATTGATCTCCAAAAAGATATAAAATCCTTATAGATTTCTGTTCCCACAGAAGAGCTAACTCCCATTTAAAAATAACCGGTTTGGCTCAGTGGATAGAGAGTCAGCCTGTGGACTCAAGGGTCCCGGGTTCGATTCCGGTCAAGGGCATGTACCTTGGTTGTGGGCACATCCCCAGGAAAGCGGGCAGGGGGGAGGGGGCAGGGGCCCGGACAACCCTGCTCCTGCCGCCCTGAGGCCACCAGGCCACCTGTGGAAGTGACAAGAACTCGCACACGCTCCTTCATCACATCCGTGCCTGTGGGAGCGAAGGTTAGAAACCACCTCCTACCCCAACACGGAGCAGGTTCATTTGTTATGTCCATGCAGAGTCAAACGGAGGGAAGTGAAACGAAACAAAACACAAACTAAAACAAGGAAAGAGGAGGTCCTCTGTCCGGGAGGATCTGGTTCCGGGAAAACGAGCCGGACACAGAGGAGGAGGAGGAGGAGGAGGAGGAGGAAGGGCAGCGTGGGCAGAGCCGCTGTATTTGCATAAAGAACCCTGGAGGGGAAACAAGAACAAAAAGAACCCTGGAGGTGACCAAGAGACTGGAGGTTGGACAGATGGGGGTCAGGACGGCGAGGACACTGTTGCCTTACGTTTGGAT